TGTAGCATTTTTACAGTCTTTTACCGTTAAATTCACGGTCATTTTTTACAGTGTATATATATACAGATCGTTTTAGGGGAAGGGTTCTGATAGCGATGGCATGCAAAGTGGAACGAAATTATTCATGAATCATAACCCACGAAATTAGCTAATGAGTTAAAGGGTTAGTTCACCCCAAAATGAAAATTCTGTCATTAATTACTCACCCTCAAGTTGTTCCAAATAATCAACGTAATCAGCGTTGTTTACGTTCGGGGGAGAAAGTGAGCGCATGAATGTAATCAGCGTTGTTTGCGCTTAGGGGAAAGCGTGCGTATGCATTGTGATACTCTCTAAAATGGTGGAAGACGTAACTCGGGGGAGAAGAATTGTTGTTTGGAACAACATGAGGGTGAGTAATTAATGACAGAATTTTCATTTTTGGGTAAACTATCCCTTTAATATGTGTTACCCACCATGACTGATTTTCACCTGCATTTGGCAGGTTATTCATTTCAAACCCTGGTTGTGGGACATCATGTGTTGAAATATACTCCACATGACTCTAACAGCAGGTGGGAAGACCTTTAAACAACTAGTTCTCTGGAATCTAAGCCAAGCCATAGACTTAATATGAAATGAATGACAAAATCATTTTATAGGCTTTGATAGGCAGTTGATAACGGTATATCATGGACAAAACTCACGTATCTCAATTCATTTTGTGTCATCAAAGCTGTTGTGTCGGCTAGTTTGCTGAAAGATGATAAGGACATGAGCGAAAGACTCTGACCTAGAAGGTCTGTGACAGCTTAGATAACAACACCGCACAAACTATGTTTGGGTTGGAATGGAGGGTTTCACACCAGTTTAATCTTTCTCACATATTATTTAAAGAAAAGAAAGGACAAACCAGTTCTTATCTGCAGAGCAGTGATGAAAAATTCAAGGACACACGGGCCAAGATTTGTCAACTCACTATGCTGTCAAAATGGACTGTTTGCTCAGATTCTTTCCTGTTACTGTGCAAAATAGCTTGGGTTTTTTAGTTCAATACTTTAAAAAACACAAAATCTATGATGGATAAGAAATTAAATGAGATGTATCAAAGGCAAAAAAAGGACAAACCTGTATCGTTTCTATGATCACAAGGCTTTTGAGGATCAAACAGTGGGATAAAGGCATAGCAAAGTGTCTGTTTGATTTTCTTTAGCCTCTATGATAAAGCCCTGTTCCTGCATATGATCCATTAAGCACAGCTTATGACTCCTCAGCAGCATGAGAACCCACTGTATTACACAGCGTACCCTGACATGGCCGATAAATAGTACATATCAGCTGTTCTGGACCATCCAATCAACTAACAACCCAACTGTCCCATTATTTATGGTGGTTTATCATGAGAGCCTCTATAATTTGCCTTATTTAAAAAAAGGCACAATATTTGTCTTATAAATAGGGATGTCAATTTAACACATTAATTTAGTGGAATTAGTCATTCTAAAACCCAATGTTTTCTACCAACAAAGCAAATGTACTTTCAATTTTCAGCCCTATTTAGATGGCAAGGCCGTCAGTCATGTACATTTTATGTTATAACAACTTAATCTTTTATATTCTTTTTAGTGCTGGGCAACGATTAATTGCGAATAATCGCAACCAAAATAAAAGTTTTTGTTTATATGAGTGTGTACTGTGTAGGGCTGTGCAATATATCGAAATTATCGAAATATCGCAAATGTACATATCGCAATATGCATATCGCTACAGCTTGCAATATTTGGGGCCATGAACAAAAGACAAAGAGAAAATCACTCACTGCTCTTACCTAAATAACTTTTGTAGCTTAAATAAGAATCAGTGCATATTGAATTCAAAGAGGAAATACTAAGCAGTGTTTTATTTTTCCTTTTTATTATTCAGTTCCTAAACTCATGTTAAAATAATTACACTAATGTTAAAATGACATTTTTATGTAATGCTTGAGTAAAACACTACCGTTCACTTTCAGAAGTTGTTGTAGGGGTGCTTTCTTATTAGAATCAGAATCAGAATGAGCTTTATTCACCACTTAAGTGTGCGCAAACACAAGGAATTTGTTGTGGTTTTACAGGAACTCTTGGTACATACATGCATACAAATAACCATATATATATATATATATATGAGACACAAGATAGTTATAGTTCACAGAACTGACTCAGCAACAGCTGAGTAAAACTGATTCATCTGAGCATGTGGCACTTTAACCATTATCGTATCGCATATCGAATATCGCATTATTTAATGAGTTATCGCATATCACAGTTTTCTTCAATATCGCACAGCCCTAATAGATGCATAGATGGTAAATTTATTTAATACATAAACATTTTTCTTAAATATATACATGCATGTGTGTGTATTTATATACATAATAAATATACACAGTACACACTCATATTATGTATGTACACAAAAACTTTTATTTTGGATGCAATTAATCTCGATTAATCGTTGCTTAGCACTAATTCTTTTGCATCTTTATTTTGCTTTTCATATCAGCAGGGAACCCTTGATAACAACTGACAATATGTTCTTAAATTACGTATGTCCGAAATGAATCCTCAAACCACCATCTTTAAAAAGCTGAATGTTCAAGTCATACATGCCATACATAGAAATGATACCTATGCGAACCTAATTATTAATACTAACAACAATAAAATAATAAAATATATCTGAATCATAAAATAATAATAAAACTGAAAAACTAATAATAAAGATAAAGAGGTTAATAAGATGCATCACTGATAGATACAGCTTTACAATTAAGAAAAATATATTAAAAATTATATAAAAAACAATAATTAGTATAATAATCAAGTAAAAATAACTATAATCGTTTATATTCTAACACAGTGATAGGCCAAAATTCATGTGTTGGAGTCATAAGAACCATATTAATCTCTCAGATAACAGGAAATAAAACAAGACAATGGTATTGAATAAAACATGTTCTGACATGAATTATAGTACTGGTAAAATCAAGTTCATGAAAAGCTGTTGCGCTCCTTAAAATACCAAGCTCACAGCACGCCAGCGGGCCAACCAACATGATTAACAATGCCTGAAGTCATTGTTTCACCAGCACCAGGATTAGCAACTTAGGAAGACTGGACTAAATGTAAACCACCAAGGCACTAAAAGGGACAGTTCAGCCAAAAATTATAATTCTGTCATCATTTATTCACCCTTGCGTTGTTTCAAACCCTTAAGACTTTCCCTAACCCTTAAACCCTGCACTTTCTGGTTGCTCTGCTGGGCACCTGTATGAACTTGAGGAGAACTGATTTCATAAAACTATCCATTTAAATGTATCCATCCAACAAACCATTAATCATGGCTGTAGATCTTTTTACAACTGCTATTATGCAACCTGACTTTATAAAACAATGTTTGGCTGTAATACTCTGCAGAAATTAATGTTCAAAGATCAAGATTTGTCCATATGAGATCCGACAAACACTTTGCTGCAACTTATTGGCATACTAACCCTATCCCTAGCCCTAAACCTAACCCTCCCTCCCCATAACTTATCCCTAAAATCAGAGGGAAATGAAAGGTGAATAATAATATTGTAAAAGCCCTAACCCTTGTTGTAAGCCTAAACTTGACATTTACTACATTTACACCTCATTGGTTGATTAGAATCTTTGTTCTACTTTGTGAATCTGCATATTGATACATGACAATGTCCTGGACACTTTTTATTCAAAGCGTATAGGATCTACCTTTTTCCTCTAAAGTTGACATTTATCATCTTACATTTAAAGTAGGCCTATAGTTATTATAAATATTTTCATGAAAACGGTTCTGCACACTCTGGCACATCGCGCGTGTTATGTTTCAGTCAGTGACACCATGACATTTCCCTTTTCGTTTTAATGTCGGGACGCAACGCTGTTTTTAAATGAATTTTAATTTAAATAAAAAAAAAATAATAATTTAAACGACATTCCATGCAGGGGCGGATTTAGTGATTTGGGGGCCTCAGGCAAAATACAGGAATGGGGCCCTATACAATTTCACACATTTACAACCTTGAGGTTTCTTTCACTGTTGCTCGCTGCTGCACGACCGTGTCCCATAGCTGTGTCCAATCTTTTAGATTTGTCATGTACATGTTATAAATAAAGGATTTCTTTAATGTTATAAATCCCTTGTTCATATTTAAACAGGTTATAATAGTATTAGAGTAGGTTGGACACTAGGGGGTGTTTAATGATTTAATCAAAAACATATCTAATTAATTGAATTCATAAAACAACTTAATTTTATTAATTTGTATACAACAATAGGGCCCTATGAAATGTTAATTTTAATTTTACCGGTATTTACTTTTTTTTTTTTGAAATTGTGTTGTGTATTTTCATTTTTCTGGTAATCAAATGAAGGCAAAAACATGAATCTATCTTTTATTCCAATGAAAATTAAACAAACCCTTTAATTTTTGTACATTCAAAATGCT